TCGCTTTGGTGGAAGTTTAACTGTTTATACATTTGCAGCCAAATACAGCTTTTCCAGCATACCACAACAGTACAGAACAGGCAACTTTAAAGCTGCTACATATTAATAGATATGAGAAGGGAAGGAGAGAGCGAAGGAAGGAAGGATTTTCCTCAGAAAGATCAGCAATAGAGAAGGCTGCATTTCATTTCATCCCGATATACTGGAACTGCCAACTGAAATGATAAAACATAAGGCATACAAAATTCAATCAGGGTTGTTAAATTCTTTTGGAAAAAGAAAGGGACAGAAAACTAGTATTGCAACTCCGGCTTTTTCTCAGATTCTATAGCCATCAACAACTTTTTCAGAAAGAAATACTAGAAAGAATTATCACAATGATTTCAGACGATTATAAACATGGTAAGAAATAGGATCCAAAAGTGCAGAAAACTCTTACCAGCCCCAGACGATCCGCAGTGCAGCGGGGCGACCTGAAGAGCATCTGTTGAACAAAACTTTTTTTTCAACGAAAGTCTGCAAAACTAATTTCCCACAGAATCAGACTCAATTTCCGTTTAAGCCACTGCCTCTTGCAATTCACATACCCCCCCCCCACCGCCGCCAATGGTAGATGAAACTGACGCGCGGGTGCGTGTTTTTAACCAAAGCACTGGAAATCTCATGGATTGGGTCTAAATATCTGAAACATCAAAGAATCAAAACGAGACTTTTGGAAGTGCGTGAAGGGAGCAAAAATAACCACGATGTCCTTCATTTATCAAGTTACTTTTTGAACTAATGTGAAGTAACGTTCTTTCGAAGCGCACTCGAATTTTTCCAGACAGCTGGGACAATGCAAACGCGGTCACGAAGGGAGATGAAATAAAAGTTTCGCTAAATGGGACGATGTCGCATATACGAAGGCGGAGAACGTTGTTTTGAAAGGTCAGGAATCGAGGGTGCCTAGCGCTGCCCCCTCCCCCGGGATAAGCGGGATTTTTCAATGAGGCACGTGTTCTTGCGACGAGTGTTTTGTGGGTAAATGGAAACAGAGAGAGACACGAGACAATTAGTTTTCCTGGATATTGCTTTCGAATCCGTTTTAAGAGAGAGTCCAGCGTGGGGGCGCAGCATTGGCTTCACCCGATTTGTCAAGGGCAGTTTGTTACCTGGGTATTTTCGGGGGATTTGCAGTAATTTCTAAACCGCCGGTGGGCCCGAGTTTTCGATTTGTTAGGCGTGACAAAACGGGAGGAGTCCAATCCTGCTTCTGGGACACTCCCGGCTCTGCTGAAAGTGAATCAAACTGATCTGGCGGGAAACGATTCTAGCGCGGTTGATGCACTTCGGCTCCGGCACTTCCCAGAGCGTCCCGCATATCCTAAAGTCACTTTGTCTCAAACATGTACCTTTCTGGAAACCTCCCCCCCCCGCACTTGCTCCCTTTTGTACTTATGCTTCATTGGCTTAATTTCACCCTATCCACAGCTTGCCCTTCAAAACGAGGTCCAGCATAATAAAGGCTCAAAAGCTGAGTATCGTTTCTGCTTAACGATACGGCACCCAAATCTGTAGAAAGAGGTGCCTAATTTAGAATATGATTCCACAAATGAACAGAATGGGCTCAGTAATAATTGAATTATTTGCACCTGATGTTTTGAATGAAAAGGGTATGTGTCCATGATATGTGTGGGTCCAGACATCCTTAACAATTGCTTAGCTTATACCAGGGTTTTTCAATCTTGGGAATTTAAAAAGGTGTGGACATCAACTCTTAGAATTTCCCAACCAGCATGTTGATAGCTGAAATTCACACTTCTTTTAGTTGTCAATATTGAGAAGCACTGGCCTATACAGTTTCATCCTGAAAGCTCCACGAACAGGGATGATTTCCTGGGAAATCAGGAAGATCATTTATTTTATATCATAGATGTTATGCCATTCTACAAAAGCAGATGCCACAAATGTATCCACAAAGTAATCTGTATGGAGAATGTAATGAAAATAATGAATTGCCTGTAAACTGTTGGACTCATGATCCACCAGTTGTCCATGACTTCACCCTACAGGCTTCAGGTCTCTATTGGGCCAATGGATCAAACTTTTCCAAATTCAGATGCTTGCTGCAAAACTGTAGACCGGTTCTTGTTTTGCTCAGCCCAACCATTTTATAGAACTTTTTTAAGGGGAAAAGAAATGGAGCCAGGAATATTGAGAAAAAAGAGGATATAAATCAGTCAATCAAACAATGAGGTCTTATCCAACCCGATTTGTATGCTTTAATTGGGTTGGATAACTTTTTGGGAAAACATTCTGTACTATTTTTCTCTACTGTAAATATGTAAGCCCGAATTATTTTTCTTCTAGTGTAAAATGACACTTTATAAGAATTCGTTTATTGGTTCATTCATTGCATTTGTATCCACAGAACCAAATGCAATGTAAATAGGTTACCTTTTTCCTAATTTAATCATTTATAGGAAGTAGCAATTTATATAATGAATTCCTTTGAAATCTATACAGTTTGACATTTTGAAGAAAAGTGAGTGTTTCTATTTGACACTGAAGCAGATTTAAAATAATTCCATATTTGTGGCACACCCTGAGAATTACTGTTTGGACATTATAATGAGAAAACCTGAGGACTCTCTTATATTATGAAAACCTCTATATTCATAATTAATACAATGGTCGCAATCAGTACTAATATAAATGGAAGTATTATTCTTACATTGTAAACCATGACAAAATAAATTTTCCTTAGCATTATTTTGTAATGTCAAGCCTTTTATAAGTTTTAAGTCACACAATTCTAGATAGCAGCCCAAAAACCTATATAGTTTTATTAAGATACACTATCCATTGATGCTTACTCTATAATGCTTGCGTAATTCCATGGAAAATAGTTGTGAACAAGAAAAAGAGAGAAAAGGATGCAAGGAAATATCTATTTGCTAATGAAGAGATAATCATAATTGTAATATGATACATTCTGTGAGAAACCGCTGCCTCTGTTCCAGATATATCATGAAATATACCTGTTCAATCTGAACATTTTAGAAAATAAATTAGCCAATGTGATGTGTTAAGAATCTCTAACATTGGAAACATGGACATGAAACTGTTATTCAGAACTTTAAACCAATCCATGGACTTTTAAAAGCTCCTTCATTTTTATCCCATTTTTATCTACTTTATGGGATGTTGTTAATTTGACTTCAACAGTACTGTTTTCAAAATCATCTAATTCAGAAAAAGCTTGCCACCTAATGATCCAATGGCAAACTTCTAACAAAGTCACACACCTGGGACCTCTTTTGCATCACAAATGATATGTTTAAAACTATGGCTGATCATGTTAATACATTACTATGAAGGTTGCTTTTTAAATGTAGTCATTGATGATTGAAAACTGCAATCATCCAAACTTTTCCTCTGTGAATAAACAGGCTGAAATAAATGGAAGCTGTTAATTTGACTTCAACTTTGGCTTGAAGATTGGTTGGAAATGAATTGAAATTTTACTTCATTCTCAGCATTGTTACTTTCTGTGTGAAGATGTTCTAAGTCCATAATCAACATGAATGTAATGCTCAGTGTGCTAGCCAGAACTTCCTGGAACTGTGTTGTATAGATAGAGAAATATACTTGAGCAACTGGATCACAAAAGCCTTGGCAAGGTGAAAAATGCATTGAATAGGAGATATTTCTGATTTGGATATTCCCAAATGATAGAGATTGTTTTTAAATGTTCAGCAACCAGGATCATACAACATGATGACGCACAGTAATGCTTGAGCTGTAGGAGAATACTCCTACAAGGTATGGCACTTTTAAGGTGACAAAAAGTGGAAAGTAGAAAGACATTGAACCATGCATAGGAGCAGCTAGTCCTGGGCAATATGGATTCACTTTCACTCTCCAGATCATTCAAAGTTGGCCAGAGAAAAAGCAGGCAGCTGTAGAGTCACTTGGTGCTTTCACTTATACATTCTTCTTTTTTCTGGGTGGCACAGTCAGAACCTTGGCTCCAATACCCCTATTTCATATCACTGCACTACTTAATTGGAGGTGGATAAAAGAGAAATGATAAGAAAATGGTCTCTAGAAGGTCTAGTGAGAAGACCTGGGTTACACCAAGAAATATAAGCAAAAATAGTCACCTTTCCTTGCTCACATCTGGAATAAGCCAAATCCTTTCCTTCATGCTGCTCAGAAAGAAAACTTTACTATGAATCACAAAATGTCTTAAAGAACATGGTAACTAAATGTTGTCCTTCCAGGCTTTCATAGTTGCACTTTCTGGAATATCCTTATTTCTTGTATATCCATCCCTAGCCCAAAAGAGGTAATAAAGAAGTAGAAGGAAGTTCCAGATGGGACAGGTGTGCTTATCTTACCTGCCCTCTTTGTTCTGCGCCACATAAAGGCAAGATCTGAGCCTTTATGGCCCGCACGTTATAAGGGGCGTGTTGGGCGGAGCTCGGCGCTGGAAGGGCCACGGATGAGGGCAGGCTGGGCCCCCTAAAGGCTTCTCGCGCAGAGCTTATTAAGGTCCTGAAAGTGCCTGCTTCTTGGGACTGGCTCGATTCCTGGCAAGCAAGAGCGAGGCTGAAGTGGGGTCGGGGATGAGGGCAGCTGCAGGTCGTTGTTGGGGTGGCTGTTGGGCTGGCGTTCGTATGTGGTCAGCGCCGCGCCGCTAAGCCAGCCCCCGGCTCACGTTACACACTCCTGTATTTATAACTTCGGCGAGGCGCTTCCCCCTCCGAGCATTAGCGCGGACCACCTCTGTTCCGCCGCCTGCGAGCCCCGAGCGGCCGCTTCTTGAAACATCCGAGCGAAGCCACCGTCGGGATTGGTAGCCAAGCGCAGGGGATCTGGATTACACCCGGGCGTCGCGGCGCGCAGCCACCGGCCTTAGAGGTGGCTGGGAGGAGAGAGGAGGACCGGGTCGCTCCTTATCCTCCGGCGGGCGTTCGCTGGCAGTGGGGTGGCCGCTCGGAGCCCTGCCGCATGCCATGGATCACACACTTTTCGGCTGCCTACGCAGTCCCCACCATTCCCCTGGCCAGGGCTTGCACCCATTCTCACAGTCTGCGCTTGCCCTGCACGGCCGCTCCGATCACATGTCCTACCCGGAGCTCTCCGCGTCCTCCTCCTCTTGCATCATAGCGGGATACCCCAACGAGGAAGGAATGTTCGGCAGCCAGCATCACAGGGGCCACCACCACCACCACCATCACCACCACCATCACCAGCAACAACAGCAGCAGCAACACCAGCAGTCCTTACAGACCAACTGGCACATCCCGCAGATGGCTTCCCTGCCACCGCCTCCACCGCCTCAGTCCGCCTCATCCAGACACAGCCTGTGCCTTCAACCCGACTCGGCTGGACCCCCGGAGCTAGCCAGTAGTCCCCCAGGACTGTGCTCGAATTCATCAAGTTTGGGAACAGGCACCCCGACAGGAGCAGCGTGCGCTCCAGGAGATTACGGCAGGCAAGCGCTGTCCCCAGTGGAGACCGAGAAAAGAATGGGCAAGCGGAAAAGCGACAGCTCAGGTAAAGCCACCTCCCTTGCGTTTCATCAGTCCGGGAAAGTGGTTCTTATGTGTGTGGTTCGTGTGTGTGTGTGTGTGTGTGTGTGTGTGTGTGTGTGAGAGAGAGAGAGAGAGAGAGGGAGAGAGAGAGAGAGAGAGAGAGAGAGAGGTGATGAAGAAGAAGAAGAAGAAGAAGAAAAATAAAATAAAATCTGGGATGGGCAATTGGTCAGCTCTGAAACAACATTGGATCGGCATTGGATTTGTTTTGGAAGCCTTCGGCGCATGAGCGCTTGATAGCTCGTGTGGTAGTGACAAGACCCCAGTTTTAGCATGCGAGAGCTTAGCCACTGGTCTATAACTACACTAATTAAAAGACTATACTTGCCGCTTGATGCCACATGATAGATATTTTCACAAGTGTTAATGACTTGGATTAGGACACCTTGGAGTTAGAATCATTGAACTCCTGTTCTAAGAGGTTGCCGAATCCATGAAATCATAGCCTTTCTAAAGAATACCAGGGACATCCAATATTCAGGGTTATTCTTAAGTCAACTATATTGTTTTCTATAGATTCTACCTAAGGAAAAGGATAGGGCTGTATTCATGCTCACAAAAAGTATCATTCCCCAGTCAAGGAGTAAATTTCAGTTTCTTTTTAGGACTTACCATCCAAAGTATTTCTGGGACACTGGTAGAATTGAAATAGAATTTCTGCTGTAGTTTTATCTTGGTTAGGCTTATAGAATGAAGACAGATTGCATAAAAATGCAAATCATTCTACTTTTCAAATGAAGTTGTAGATATGAATGCCTAGGCCTCAAAAAGTACATAAAAATAATCAAATGAAAGTGTATGTGTATAAATATGAGTGTTTGTATGTTCCTGCTCTAAGTACAATTATTTCATGTAACTTAAGGTAAGTTAGCATATTGGCCCACTAATTTCACTAAATTTGTTTTGTCATCCTTAGTTGGATGCTTTTGATTTATATTTGTACTATTAAATACATGTTTAAATTTGCTTTTATATATGTGTGTGTGTGTGTGTGTGTATCTATGTGTATATGTGTGTGTGTGAATACTTATGTGTGTATCCACACACACGTTTGTATATATTACAGTATGTATATTTATTTAGAAAAGAATTCCAAGTTTTGATCAAGTAGAAGTCATGGTCTACTTTGAAATTTAACAGTGCAAAACTATCCATAGTTATATCTGAATTGTTAGGGCTGTTATATAGAAATGTATTTCATTGACAGTTTAATGCAAAATATTTTGAGTCCTACGCATTTTGAAACTTGTTGTACTCTGTCTTGTAGTTTAGGAAGACAAACTGAAAAGCTGATTTGAATTGCTTTTAAAAAACTATGTTACAAAATATACTTTTCTATAAAAATGGTTAAATGGGTAAGAAATCTTCAGGCAGTCCTGGATGAAGGACGTTTCATTATAACACTGCTAAAGGTAAGAAATAGATTTGTATATATGCACACACATTTTCACACACATGCAATAGTGTGGTATAATGCTGAGTTTAGACAGAAATCTGAAAGATTTCTATCTATGAGTAAAAATAAGAAGGAAGCTGAATCTTTTACTAACAATTCTATTTTTTTTAAAAAAATGGCTTTTTCAATGGTACATATTTGATCAATTTAGAATGGTTTCAACTATTTTCTGTGTTAATTAGATGAAGAAAACTAGAATTATAATGACTTTTTAAATTTTAGTATAATTGTTGCCTTGTAATTGACAAAATAAAGTGGCAGGCTAAATATTTGAAAGAGACATAAATAGGCATTTATTTGAATTATAATCATCTGTCAATCAAATAAAAGTAATTATTATATTCTAAAGGCATACTGGTTGGTTGACTTCTAAGGATAATGCTACATAATGCAGCATGTAAGAAAAGTGCTATGTAATAATTAAAAGGAAATCCTCATAAATATTAAACATTAATATTAATCTCCTTTAATATTTATTAAAGCTTAGATACCTAGATGATTGAAAGTTAATTACATTATATCACTGTATGTTATATTAAAAAAATATTAGAACACAATTCTATAAAACTTTGGGAGTTAGTCTTAATTATCATTTTATGCTTATGTTTTACAAAGAAAAAATTCAGCCTGACTAACTTTCCAATATAAGGTTATAATATTAATTGGCATTCATTGGTATATATCTATCTTTCATCTTTCTTATAAAGTGTAAAATACACTACCATATACTTTAGAAAAGTATTTTCCTTATATGTAACTATGAATTGAAAATATCAGATTTAAGATAATCATATATTTTCATATGCCAAATGTTTCTGTATATATTATCATAAATAGAAATATATTTATTTACATATCCGAATATTTTATGGAACTGTATAATACTTACCATATTTGTATCTTATCATTTCTTATATTTACATAAATATATTTAAAATAAAAGATGTAAAGCCATAAGAGATACATAAGAGTGTGTTAATTAAAAAAAACATTTATAACATAAAAAAATCAAGGAAGAGTTTCACAAGACATTTAAGTATATTGAATTACAATGGTTGAGATGAAACAATAGATAAAATATTCTTTAGTTATTTCTGCAGTACAATAATCTCTGGTGCTAAATTATTTGTGGAATACGTACAATCTAAATAGCAATGTGTTTGTGCTTTGCTAAAACATTGGCATAGAAGCTATATAGAAACAGAGATAACAAGGCAAGCCTGGAAACTTCATTGTTAGTCTTAGGCGTAGGGACCGTGATCTTTAAAAAAATCTTATTTGTTCTCCTTTAGGGCCAACATGATCCCATAAAGAAATCTAGGCTGTTGTACAGGGTGACATTGTGGTTTGTGGGTAGCACGAAAATGGAAAGAGGCTTCAGGTAAGTAATGACAGAGAGCCTCAGTATATACAGATAGTCCTCTACTTTCAACAGTTAATTTAGTGACTTAAGTTACAATGGACTGAAAAAAGTGACTTAAGACCATTTTTCTCACTCATGACTGTTGCAACCTCCCTGTGTTCATGTGATTCACATTCAGATGCTGTGGTTCATATTTATGATGGTTGCAGTTTCCTGGGATCATGCGATCCCCTTTTGTGATCTGAGAAGTAAAGTCAATGGGGAAGCTATATTCACTTAACAACCATGTTACTAACTTAGCAACTGCAATGATTCATTTCACAAATGTGGCAAGAAAAGTCGTAAAATTAGCCAAAACTCACTTAACAAATTTCTTATTTAGCAACCTAAATTTAGGGCTCAATTGTGATCGTAAGTCAAGGACTACCTGTACCAAGGGTGCACATTCGGTACCAGGAGATAATTCCAAAGGGAAATAGACAATTCTCTTTGCTTTTATCTACTTGAGATTTTGGTAGCTCAGATTTGATAGCTGCTTCTGATGCTGTTTATTCCTGTGATGACTGATACTGAAAGTGGACATCCATGAGTATTACTTTAGAAGCCAGCAACCTCTAATTATGCCTCTGCATCCCAAAGAAACTCAAAAAAAGCTGAACAAATATAATTTTTAGTCTGTCTTATACTGATGTTTCATGGACAATAAGGATTCCCCAGCATATAATAAAATATAACAGAAACCCAGTACAGTATGATGTCATAGTAGATAATATAGTAATCAAAAGCAACAGACCATTGCTTGTATTTGCTGATAAAATATACCCATTTTTTCTTAAGATAATGCAACATAAGCAAAAAAAAGTTGATCATTTTAAATGACACATATTGTCTATAATTTCTTTTTTATTCCTGGAAATATTGTGTAATATTTATAATAAAATCTTAAATATCACAAATGAATTTAAATCTTGTAAAACTGACAACTCTAAAGGAAGATATATGGTTAAGAAATAGGAAATTAGATGATAAGAGGGGGGGGGATATATATTTTCACTTCTTTATTCTTCTACCATTACTCTGTTATTGGAATTCCAAAATATTATGTAGTATATGTCTATCTTAATTATTTTCTTGGGCTGATAACACATTCTCATCTTCCTTTCATGTGATGCTATTGTTTGTATTAAGGTCTCAAATTAAAGTGCTCTGATCCTACAGCCCCTATTTAAATAAAACCTTACAAGGCCAATTAAGTTCAGGGGGCAATTACATCAGTTTAATAAAATGATGATTAAAAGCTAAAAATATTTTAGCTTTTATTTTGGATTGCTTGTTAAAATATTTAACAATCTGTCTATAAATCACAAAATTAAAAAGAAATGGATACATTTTTAGATATATGTTTTAATATTTTTTTTCAAAAAATAAGAAAATAAAACTTTTCTAAAATTCTGAGTTATATTGTTGCTATCCCATATTTAAACATCAGACAGAAAGTTTATGTGCTTTAATGTTTTATATAAATGGTTATAATTTTGCAATTCTATGCAAGTACAATTGATGTACAGTTTTCTATACTGAAGTAGCCTGATATAGTAGTCCTATGGATAGAGATTGTCCAGAAGTAATGTTTGATGGATTATTTTGTAAATATTTAGTGTGGTTTCCAAGAAATGCCTTTGAAAAAAACATGTACGTTTAATGATATACATGTTGGAGAAAATGATTTGATAAATGTGTGTTAACAAAATGAATTCATTGCTTTTAGTAACTTCTAATTACTCTCCAAACAGTTCAGTAAGAAAAATGACCTGTATATCTTTTCAAAATGAACACTGTAACTGATTCATCAAAGTTCTTAAACCTTTCAGCATGCTGTTAAGTGTAAACAAGCAAATAGAATTCTTTGTGATTTTCTACTGGAGAGAGTTAATTTGTTAACGATACTAGGTTTCATTATCAACATGCCTGATGTCTATTGGGACTTGGGGTTCCTATTTCTTAAAAAGCAACTTTCCATGCCACATGGTGAATTGCTTTTGAACTATTGTTAGGACATGGGAAATGCTCCTATATTGAAACAGGGAAAAATTTCCATAGGAAATGTTTTGGTCATTTAAGTTGAGCATTTGGTTCCTGGTTA